GGCTATTTTTTGGTTGCAGCCATCATTGTTGTTTGGCGGGTCCTTAGGTGTATGTGGCTGGCGCCTTAGCCATTTGAGCCACAGGCGCTGAGCCTGGGTTATTTTTAACAATTTATTTTCAAATAGGTAGGTAGCTGTTGCTTAAAAGTGCTAAATAAAAAATAATCTAGCAAATGAGCTAAGAGCATTAACTCCAATTTTTCTGGTTAGTTTTAGATTTTATTCAGATGAGGACAAAAATGACTATTTGAGAAACAAAAGTTCAGATGATTTTATCTTGTTTTACATAACTGGAAAGTTGTTAGACACCATTATAATACTGGGAGTAAGAGCTTTTGGACAATAGATAAAGGTTATAGGAATTCTTCAACATGACCCCTTTGCATGTGCTGGACACAGACGGGCAAGCCCATCTGCAACAACGGATAGTAACGAGCAATCTGCCACTTTTCAGAAAGCAAGAAGGGAATGATTCACAGATCACTACCGTTAATACAACTGAAACAAAACATTTTGATTTGGCCTTGTCACAAATGAAATACAGTATAGAATAGTATGTGAGAATCTAGATATGCTGACACCTTGTAATGTTCAAATGAAAAAGACGCACAACTATACATATAGTATGATCCTATTTATGTTAACAAGTGGTTCTCAACCTTCCTAACACTGCAATGTATTTTCATTGTTAAAAGGGGGTTGTGATCCACAAGTTGAGAACTGCTGACTTAGAAGGATACATATCAAATACTTCTGGGAGTCAGCTTGTGGAGGGAGGATTTTCACATTTTGCTTTATATACCTTTGTATTTTCATTTTGTACATGGACTACGTATTACTTTTTAAGGAATCAAAGGTAAAATTCACATAAAAATGTCACCCTTTAAAATAATATAATTTGTGGTTTTTAGTGTATTCACAAGGTTGTGCAACCATCAACCACTACCTAATATTTCATCACCCCCCAAAGAAACCCTACTCCTGTTAACAGTCACTCCTTATTTCTCCATCTCAGCAGCCCTTGGCAACCACTAATGTATATTCTACCTCTATGAATTTGCCTCTCTGGATATTCCATATAAATGGAATCATACAATATGTGACTTTTTGTGGCTTCTTAGCATGTTTTCTAAGTTTATTTGCCTTGTAGCATGTATCAGTAATTCATTCCTTTCTATGGCTACCTATTACTTTTATAAATAAAAAATCTGAAAATAGATCTGATTTTAAAAATACTCAGAAACACCTTACCTTTCTGTACAAAGCACTTTTAAAAAAAAAGAGAGAGATTCTTGCTCTGTCGCTTAAGCTGGAGTGCAGTGGTGTGATGACACCTTGATGCAGCCTCAGACTCCTGGGCTTGAGTGATCCTCCTGCCTCAGCCTCTTGAATAGCTAGGATTACAGGCATGCGCCACACTGCTCGTCTAAGTTTTAAAATTTCTTTTAGAGATTGGGTCTTGCTATGTTGTCTAGATGGCCTTAAACTCCTGGTCTCAAGCAGTCCTTCACCTTGGCCTTCCTAAGAGCTGGGATTATAGGCATGAGCATTTAGTCACAATTACTTTACAGAAACTCACTGACAACAGCTCTAAGTCTAGTGTCCATGTTAAGGCATAGTTTATTTCTGTCTCCCCCTTAACACTCCCTTAAATATTGAGCCTCTGAGGTCACATTTAAGAGCTTACCTCCTCAAATAGTATTCCTGTTTTCATTACATCTCTTCATTGAAATATTACCATTTACACAATAGACCTAGTTAGCTCTGTGCCCGGCTGCATTTTATTTTCTTTATCTCTCCACCACGGCCCCACCCTCAACATAAAAATACACATAATAACCACAAGAGGTGTAGGCAAAGGTATAATTTGGATGTTTATGAATCTGCTGTCATTTGACAAGGATCCAGGTCTGGTTGACTGACTTCTGTACACTGATCATATGAAGACCATGTCTGCGATAGTGTAACACTTTCAAATGTCATCATTAATTTTTATAGTAACTGGTACTTTATAGGTTTCATCTTCTGAATAAAAGTCATGAATACATTTTTTGCTTTACATCATTAATGTCAGGTTATCTCATTATCTGAATAAGGGAATGTTATGTAATATTGGTTGATATATAAAGGAGCATTTTGCCTCTACAACTGAGGACTCTTAACATACAAATATTAAAAGGGATTCAGTTTTTCCTCTTAAAAAGACAGGCTGGCCATTTGCTTGCCATAGAATTTTCCTAAGAAATTCTACTAGGTTTATGCTTTGGAATGACCTTAGCAATTGCTGGTGAATGCAGCTGGAAAAACAAAACAAAGCAAAACAAACAAAAACAGCTGTCAATGGTTTCAATAAACTTAAGAAATCCACATAATGGCCGGCGCCTGTGGCTCAGCGAGTAGGGCGCCAGCCCCATATACTGAGGGTGGCAGGTTCAAAGCCGGCCCTGGCCAAACAGCAACAAAAACCAGCCAGTCGTTGTGGTGGGTGCCTGTAGACCCAACTACTAGGGAGGCTGAGACAAGAGAATCGCCTAAGCCTAATAGCTGCAGGTTGCTGTGAGCTGTGAGGCCACGGCACCCTACCAAGGGTGAAACTCTGTCTCTAAAGAAAAAAAAAGGAAAAAAAAAGAAATCCATATAACTCTCTCCATCTCCATATTTTTACTGTGGCAATTAAAATAAGGCTTAATAATGGATTTTAAACACACACAGGCATGCTACCAGGCAGTACTGGGTTGTATTTATAGCCAAACACACCATCTTATGTCCTAGCATTAATCACAACCTGTTACTTGATTTTTTCCCCTCTGAGTAATAATGCAGGCTATATCTATAAAGTGGAATCCCTTTATGACAAGGATACTAATTCTGTAGCCCTGATGAAATGTAGTAGTTTTGGTTTATTTTCAAAATTGCCTTAGGACTAAGTCCCAGAGAAAGTGATTTAAGCCATAGGTAATTAAACCATGTAACAAAGAACTGAAATGTATAGTTCTTTTGTACTTAAGAGACTGCTGTTTCTCTCCATGATAAAACCTTTATATTGTGAAACTCTGAGCTGAATTTAAATTCACATTTTTCCTCCCACACTTGTTGAACTAGGCATTTCACTTTGAAATAAAGCAATATTAAAAGGAACACAGTACTACTGCTGTTATCAAATAAGCTTCATTATACATTTTCGCAAAAAAAGACACCAATAATGAAAGTCATAACTCATTTATTGAATGAATAGTATATGCAAGAATACCAATAAAAGGAAACTAATACTACAAACTACAATTCCAAAAATAAAGCCAATATAACAGGAACAAAATATACATGAGAGGAATGTTTGATTTTTGACCCATAACGCATTCCTTATCTTTACAATTAACCTAAATGTCTGTCAGAAAAGAACTGTATACCTTGGTCTAACTTTAGTGCTTTTTAAAAAAGCAACAACACTCTAGAACACTTTTGCTTTTGCTTTAAGATATTTGAGAGTCACACATTTGTTCAAGTACATAGTTTCTGATTCAATAGCAGATCTACAGATTTCTTAATATCTTGAGTAGCATGTACTTCTGAGCAAGTACTATCTGAAATTCTAAAATTGTTGATCCTTAAAATAAAATTTATTTCAGTTGTGGGTTTTTAATAGACTGAGATGATAGTAAAATTCATCCCCCTCCCCCCACCAGGAACAGAGTTTTTATTAAAGTATAGAAACTCAAGTCTATCTTTCTATTCTAAAGAACATTTCATACTAACATTTCTGGTAAGGCAATAAAATGCTCCAGAATAATCTTCAATATATGCTTGCAAAGATTACACTGTTTAATATCAATAACAAAAAAAAAAAACAAGAAAAAAAGAAAAAAGATATTTCAAAACTTTCAGGCTAAAATATGCATAAAAGACAGTTATGGCAGTATTTTTTGAAATGATGTAAATGTTATATACTTATCAAATAATGTCATGCTTATTAAACTACAGTTAAGGACTTAAGAGATGTACAGTAAATACACTGCTGAGGTCCATTTTTCTAAATATTAATACCACAATGTAATTACTACCCAGATGATGATGATGCTACTTGGGAACTTAAGTACTGTACAATTTTTACATTGTAAGGCACTTTTACTCAGCATGTGATGAAAACATGGTTAGAGAATCAAAATGTTGGAGGTTTACAACCAAACATGATTATTCATGTGACTTCAATTTACATTTCAGTTTTTAATGAAAGATTGTTTAGCCAATCACACCACAGTGAGAGAAAAACAGGTAGTCAGCCACTTATCTAGCCAACCAAAAGGTAAAGTGCTATTCTGGTTGGTAGTGGCAGAAAAAGGGCTGAAGAAATCCATACAAAGTCATACATTTTACTACATAACAAATCCATCACTGACAGCTATAGTATTTGAAGTCCTTTACATAATTATTGACTGGCCATGATTACCCCAGCACCTTCCATTTTTCCTAAAAAAAAAAAATGATTACAGTAGTTGTCCAAAAATGAAGGAGCTCTGTTGTCCCATGGGTAAGTCTATGGCACACAATGTAAAAAATGATCTAGACACAGTGATTTAAAGATTTAAGAAGTAATGATTTTCAAGCTGTTATAAGGAAATAAAGTACAGATCCTTTGGGAAAAGTCACATAGCTTGGTAAACAAACATCTAGATCTGTCCTTGCACTTCAAGTCATGATGAATTTTGAAAATTAAAATCACATACACACAAAAAACCCCAAGGGCATATTAAGAGCAAGAGGAGAAAACACATAGGGCAACCCACTACTAAAGCTAGTTTCCTTCTAAAAATATCAAATACAAGATGGTTAAAATAAAGCAAGCATTGAGTCCCTTGATTTAAGTAAATGTGTCAATACACACTTGACAAACGTGATCATAAGGGACAAGCAGTTAAAAACATCCGTCATTAATAAGCACAGTGTAATTTTCCACCTGTTACATTTTAAAAATGCTGTTTATCAGCTGCAGAGTATCACAATGTACAGTTAACATGTTATTTCTTATTTGCAAATCTGCTTTATTGTGGTAGGTTAACTAATAATTCAGAAATCAGAATCCCCTCCCCTTGGTTTGAGGTGCTATGGTAATATTAGGCAGACCACAACTAAAGTTTTTTGGTTTTGCCATAAGGAAATATATAAATGTGCTTCAGCAGGTAAGTGGAAGAAAATATCACTAGCTTTTAAATGCCAGTGTGAAAATCCTTTTTAAAAAGCTGGATTCTTAGGCTTTCATAAACAATTCTGCTGATCGATCAAACAACACTGAGTCCTACCAGAAGAAAAGCAGGGCACAAAAGCCTATTTTATAGGTAACTGAAAACGTTAAAAATATTAAATAAACTTTCTAAAATAGTGGTCACAAATTAAAATAAATACTGTTTTATGCAAAGACTGTTTTTTTGTTGTTTTTTTTTTTTT